TACAGGAGGATGCTTAGAATAGCATGGACACAGAAGAAACTAACATGGAAGTATTGCGAGAAATGGGCAAAGAATACGAAATAATAATCACAATAAAAATAAGAAAGATACAATATGTAGGACACGTAATGAGGGGGCAGCAATATGAACTGCTAAGGCTGATAATACAGGGAAAGATAAGAGGAGGAAGGAGTATAGGAAGAAGGAGAGTGTCATGGTTGAAGAATTTAAGAAGAAGAGACGGCACTTAAAGAAAAGATTTACGTTAGTCAAACTTCGGCGGTAAAAATCCTTCATAATCATAAACTGCATCCTTACCGCATACAGTTATATCAAGTGATTATCAATGCAGATTAACTTTTTGTCAATGGTCTCAGCAGCAAGTGCAAAGCAATGCAATGCAAACAGATTTTTTTATTCGAACCTTGTATACCAAAAGCCTCCAACAACACCAGATGATATGAAAAATAGAATAAGAGAAAGCTTGTATAGACATTTTGATCATTTACTTTAGACTTTTTTCCTTAATATCACATTAATTGTTACATTCATTACATATATTATGGTTTATATTTTTTGTTAGTTACTTATGAATAAAAATAATTTTGTTATATTATCACTCAATACTCAATACTTATTTCTTTACAGAATTGAATGTATTCCGAAATTTGAAGAAAACTACAAATATCTCGGAAAATAATGAGTTTAGGTATAGGGAGGCAAATGGGTAGAAAGCGAAAACATGCAATTGCTTCCAGTTTACTCCACTTAGCCTCTTCTACTCAAATCCGACTTTTACCTTCACGATGGTGCCTCCTGTTAAACCGAGCAACCCAATTGGAGATCCGGTATCCAACCCGGGTGGAAAGTTGGGTCGGGAACTGACGAAAGCGGTGAAATGGTCATGTAAACGTACATGTAAACATTTGGAGCCACGAAACAAACTATTGCCTCGGAACAGGACGGATAGGAAATATAAACGATACTCGCAACGAAATAAGGACATTTGCATAGGAACGTGGAATGTGTTAAGTTGGCACAGACCGGGGATAGCGACGAGAGCCATTAGACAACTACAAAACTATAACATGGATATAACAGCAATACAGGAAATAAGATGGACAGCAACAGGAATTCTGGAAATGGAAGATACTATAGTCTTATATAGATAAGATAAGATACTTATAGTCTTGGTCGGGTACTGAGAATAGACATGAATACGGATGTGGTTTTGTCGTTGCAAAAATACTAAAATCAGCAGTGATAGATTTCAAGCCAATAAACGAACGAATCTGCTATATTAGACTCAAGGGTAAGTGGTTCAATCTCACAATATTCTCAATATATGCCCCAACAGAAGATGCCGAAGAAGATAAGGATGAATTTTATGAATTATTAGACCAACAGTATAAAGCTGCTCCAAAACACGACGTCAAAATAGTGATGGGAGATTGCAACGCTAAACTAGGTAAGGAAGATTATTTAAGAGAAGTAATTGGTAAGCATAGCTTGCACGACACAACAAATGATAATGGACACCGGCTAACACAATTCGCAATATCTAATAATCGTTAAATCACCCAATTCGAGAGAAAGGACATTTACAAGGTCACATGGGTTTCAAATGATGGAAGAACACGAAATCAAATAGATCATGTCCTCATTGACGCAAGACACTCTAGTAGCATTATTAATTCGCGAAGTATGAGAGGAGCTGACAGCGATAGCGATCACTTTCTGTTGAAATCTAAGTTAAGAACGCGATTATCAATACAGAAACTGGAACAACAAGAAAAAAGAGAAATATGGAACATAGAAGCCCTACAAACACCAAATAAAGAACTGGATTATCAAGTGGCAATAAGAAACAGATTCCAATTGCTTGGAGAGGAAGAGCATAATGTAGAGTTAGAACAAGCATGGCAGCAAGTGGCATCAGTTATAGAACAAGCAGCCAAGGAAACCATTGGAAAAAAGAGGACTCACCCAAAACGGAAATTGTTTGACAAAGCATGCGATGAAATTCTGGAAATAAAAACGAAAAAAAGATTGAAAATGCTACAAGACCCCACAGATGAGAACAAAGCAGATTTTAACAGAACAAGAGCACAAACAAGGCGACTATTCAGAACTAAAAAGAGGAGCTACCTAGAACAGATACCTTGGTAGAGTCCAACATGGTAAACTCATACATGCATTGAAACACATACACCTAGATCCCAAGGATATTAATTTAATCAAAAATCTGTACTACAATCAAACAGCGGTCGTACGGGTGGAAGATAGTGAGACAAACCAGGTGGAAATTCAAAGAGGAGTCAGACAGGGATGTGTGCTGTCGCCACAATTATTTAATGTGTACTCCCAACTAATATTTCAGGAGGCACTATGGGAAAGAACTGAAGGTGTAAGGATTGGAGGGAGCATCATTAATAACATAAGATTTGCAGACGATACCGCAATCATGGCAGAGAATATAGACGATTTACAAACTCTCCTGGAAATCATTAACAGAGAAAGCAAAAAGATGGGACTAACAATGAATATAAATAAAACCAAATACATGGTGATCTCAAAAAACCCTGTTGACAACATACAACTGACATTGGAGGGTAAACCCCTAGAGAGAGTCGACAAATATAAATACCTCGGAGCAATTATAAACTCACAGTTAGATCAAGAGCAGGAGATAAAGGTCAGAATAGAAATAGCTCGAAAAGGCTTTATAAAATACAAGTCAATGTTTACAAATAAGAAATTGAGTATGGCCATCAGATTGAGGTTCGTCGAATGTTATGTTTGGTCGCAACTACTATATGGGGTAGAAGCTTGGACTCTGAAAGCCCAATCTATAAAAAAATTGGAGGCATTCGAAATGTGGCTATATAGGCGTATTTTGAAGATTCCTTGGACTGCAAAAGTCTCAAATGAGGAAGTGTTAAGACGAGTTGGACATGGCAGAAAGCTTATGAACACAATTAAAATAAGAAAAACATCGTATCTGGGCCACATACTCCGAAACGATAAATACTCTCTGCTACAAGTCATCATGCAAGGTAGAGTAGAGGGAAGAAAAGGCTTGGGAAGAAAGAAGAAATCTTGGCTGAGGAATATCAGAGATTGGACTAACCTCAGTGTTGAACAGATATTTCACGTTGCAAAAGATCGAGAAGCGTTTAAAGAAGTGATCGCCAACCTTCGTTAGAAGACGGCACAAGAAGAAGAAAGAAGACCTAGAACAGAAAATCCGGGAAATGGACAGAAGTGGCGAGAGGAATCAAATAAGGAAATTCTTTAGTGAAGTGAAGTCAGTCAGAAAAGGTGCAAGTGTTGGAGTAACACAGCCTATGAGAAATGAAGCAGGTGAACTTATAATGATATAAACAGAAATCGTCGAACGATGGAAGGAATACTTTCGGAATTTACTAAATATTGAAAGTGAGACGGACGAAGCAGATATTACGTTTCATTCTGCAGATATCGAAATACCAGCACCAACACTTGAGGAAGTAGAATGCGCATAAATGCGCAGGAAATGATGGCATAAATGGAGAGTTGTTAAAAAAAGGAGGAAAACTTTTACACCAAAAATTGTATGACATCATTCTGAGAGTATGGCAACAACAGAAAATGCCTAGAGAATGGAATGGAAACGTTATAATTCCCATATATAAGAAAGGAAACAAAGAACAATTCCGAAACTATAGAGGCATATCGCTTATTAGCACATCATATAAAGTGCTATCAATTATCTTGCTAAAGAGACTCACACCATATTCGGAAGATATTCTAGGCGACTACCAATGCGGCTTTCGTGCTGGAAGGTCAACTATAGATCAGATATTTACCATCCGACAAATATTAGAGAAAAACTGGGAATTCAACCGCGATGTGCACCAAATTTTCATAGATTTCCAGCAAGCATATGATTCCATAAAAAGAAGCAAATTGTGGATAGCAATGTTAGAAATGGGAATACCAAGAAAATTAGTTGAATTAACGCAAATGCGCGTGACACACTTATATGCGCAAGTAAAGATAGGAAGCAGAACATCGATGCCTTTGGTATAAATTCAGGACTTAGGCAGGGGCCCCTTGTCACCGTTGCTGTTCAATTTTGCTTTAGAATATGCAAGTAAAATATCGTCTGAGTTATAAAGCCAGTGAAGAAGAAGAAGAAGTATAGGGAATGCTATATCAAAATGAAAGAGTAGCGTAAATACAATATTTCTAAAAAATCAAATACAGGATGATCCATTTAAAAAATTGAGAAAATCGTAATTTCGTTTTGTAGTTCACCCTGTATACAAATTTTAGTCAATGATTTCAATTAAACTTAATTTAAAAACTACAATATATTGTTTACCTTATTATATAAAATAAATAATTGTTTATGCATTACTTCTTTATATACATGGTGTTGATTTCATAGGGATTTTGAAATAAAATTGGTCATAACTTGTTAAACACTATGTATACTACTGCAAAGTCCAATATTATAAGAACAAGAATAATTTTATTTTTATTATTGTATAATTATTATGAGAGGAATATAAATATGAAAAAATATATAGGGTGTCCCATTTAAAAAATTGTAAGTTTGCTATACCACGTAGTTATTAATCAAGCTGTCACATAGCCAAGGAGAATGTCATTGTCTACATTTTTTCTAAATAAGTTTTTTGGATATCTTGTACCACAATGGAATTATTGAACGATGTCGCACTAAGAACGCACCCTGTGTATATGTGTGTATTTAGTGTGTTAATTCTTGTCACTATAAAAACCTTATTTATTTATTTCATTGTAGGGGTAGCAATATTGTTATATACCACAAATCGACGTTCCAGAAGATAAAACAATAAGTATTTACAGAACATGAGTGATAAAATGTTTTTTAACATAAATATTTTACCTATAATAATCTTAATTTAAACCATTTAGAGTATTTAGATTAAATGTAGAAGTCGATATAGAGTAAATGTTACTGAATCTCTTACCTGCAGCAGCAAGTTGTGCGGTAACTTCATCTCCCATGGCGGCAGCCATAAGATCGGATCCTTCGTCATAAGCCGACCCTGGTGATGACGGACAGTTGTCGTCATCATCAGAAGCAACCGACATCCCACCGGGTGAACCTACGACCATTGCAATTTGTTCTGTATTTTGATTTCCGTTTGAATTATTCATTATCAACACCATTCACCTGTACCATGGAACACACGCCCCCTGAAATAAAACTGTCATAAATACACAGTCAATATGAAAGCATAATAAAGAAATCTCGGGAAATTAAAAACCTTCTTTTTTTATATTTTTTTTTATAAAAAACAGCAACACAATCCAGGAAATTAACATAAATATCAAGGCAAAGGTGTGAGGTAAACAACCAGTCCTTGCCACTATACCAATTATTGCCACTGACCCTTAAATTCTAAGAAAATAAGAAAATTACTAGAGATCAAATTATATTTTTTGCAAGTATTAATACCTTATTAAGTTTGGCAACTGTATACTGTTGTACAATACCCAAGCATCAACCATTTTTGTTGTATACCCCTTAGAGTAGTGTTGTGTAAAATTTCTTCCTATTTTTTGTGATTTCCTATGAAAAAATTAAGGTAAGTACATTTTTCTTTTTCTTATTCACTTTTGTAAATGATTGTTTTATAAAATTATTTACACATGTGCTCCTCTTAAATACTCTAAACTACATTTGTTTGCTGTTTAAATTCAGTTAAGGGTACATATTTCTAAAGAAATGTACCTGGCAATGACTGGTTACAAAATATTTTATGAATACCAGTCATTGCCACAAGTGGCCATTATTGGTTTGGCTTATTTTTAATTCATTATAATGTGTAAATTTACTATTTAAAATTACGGTGTTGCCACTATTTTTTTTATTACAAAAATTTTACTTTTACCAATTATTGCCAGTGGTGGCAATCACTGGTTCTAAAGTGGCAATCATTGGTTACATTAATATTTGGTATTACAAGTATTTTATTCATTACAGAAATGACACCTAAACGGAATTATTCGAAAGAGCAATTGGCCAAAGCCCTAGAGAATGTGAAAAAGGGAATCCCAGCAGCTACGGCAGCAAAAATTCATGGAGTTCCTCATAGTACTTTGAGGCATAAGAGAGATTGAAGGTCACCATTATTTTGTTCTATGGACCTTTTTACAATTTTAACCAAAGAAGATGAATCAGTCTTAGTGAAATGGATTTTACATCTATCAGAAAGACATTTTCCTGTTTCAAAAGTTCAGCTTTTGGATACAGTTCAGAAAATAATAAATTCTACAGAAAGAGAGAAATTATTGATTCATAGCCGTCCCAGTGACAAATGGTTTCGCTTGTTTTTGACAAGCTTTGTGACACAAAGAGTGTCACTTAAGCACTTAAGTATTTTGAAGGAAAGCCGGGTGAAGAAACTTTAAATAGGTTCAAGGTAACTTTAAATGAAAATCAGGATTGGAATGGTTCTATTGAGGATAAATCCCTTTTTAACATATGGAAAGAATGGACAATGGAAACACTACCAAACCAAATTAAATGTACCATCCAAAACAATATTACCATATTTCCAATTCAACTGCACACCAGTAAAAAATTTCCAACTAAATATCTCTGGTACTCATAGCTCAGATATATTGTCTACTCCTGAACCAAGTACATAACATAGTACACTTGGAGAGTCTATGCAAAGTTCCTACCCCATTTAAGAAAGCACTGTTTTGGCCAGACCCAAAACCTCAGACAAAGAAGATAAAACTAAAGGAAAATATTCCATCCGTGGTACAATCAGAAGCTTGGCGTGAATATCACTTGAAAAAAGAAAATGAAAAGAAAAAGAAAGAAGAAAAAACCAAAGAAAAATTGCAAGAGAGCAAGAATGTCTATTGAAAGAGAAGCTAAAACGGGATATTTCTGATGACGATGGAAAGGATGAAGACTGGGTCGAGAGTGGTAGCAGCTGTGATGACATAGACTTTTGTGATGACCTTAACAAAGAATTTTGCCATTAACTCACGGAGAACTTGTTAACCACATAGTGTGGGAAACTATGTACTTGTGAAATTCCTAGATGGTAAAAAAAATCCATAACATACAGATATGTTTGTATTATCCAAGTCCTTATGGACACTTTTGATGTACAAGCAATGTCTATGAAATCTGTTAGTGTGAAAAATACATCTACTTTGTTAACGAAAATCACGTTTAGGCATACCGCCGACCCCTATTATTTTATCCACTGGTGAACGGATTCGTTATGAATTTACTTTGCCAGTGGATGTATTTAAGGCCTAAAACCTGTGGAATTTTTATTAATAAACAATAGTTTTCAGTAAAATGTAGAGTTATTTCTGTATGGCAATGACTGGGTGGCAATAATTGGTATTTTGAAAAATTGTGTGGTAATTATTGGTTTTTTGGCTTTATATGGTTTTTATTTTTAACTTTCTTATAGTGGCAATGACTGGTCATTTACCTTAATAGCAACAGAGAGCGTCGAAATTATTAAGATATATCGCGGTGTATTAAGACAGTGAAAACGAATCTTATACAAGGTACGGATTCCGAAGAATCATTAGCTACATTAGCATTAATAGTCGTGAAACACAACAGAACGTTACCAAGGAGTACCTAGTATCTAAGCGATACCAATGATGTAAATATTCTCTAAAAAATAAAACAGAATTTCATATTATTCAGTTGAAAGATGAATGATATGCAATAACAAAGAGAACTACCAAATCTCACGATAATGACTATGAAATGGGGTAACCACAGAGGTGATCTAAAAGTCAGCACGTATGAGTTAAGAAAAATGGAAAGTTTCATGTACCTGGGTGATATTATTATCTCCAAAACTAATTCGAATCAAAAGATGCCAGCCAGAATTAACACAGAAACTATAAAAGTTATACTGAACTGAAAAAGAAAACTTACACTGAACGATCGTTAGACCAACTATATATTCCGAAGAAACATGGATGGTGATTCGAAAGAGTGCATCTGCACTTAAAATACTTGGTGAGGTAATTATTGGTGAGTAACGAATAACAGAACAGCTAATCATTTACTAAATGAAGCTAATAACTGAATAGTTGAATATGAAAATAACTGCCGTGACTTATATTGAATTAGAAAGAACATAAGGGCATATAAAAATGAGAAAATCTCGCAGACAATCGAGCACAACAAGAGCATGAAGATATTAAGAAGGAAATTGACGAACAGCAGAAAAGAAATCATCAGACTTAAGGGAAAGAATGGCAAACTAACGTCCAACAGAGACGAAATGCTAGAGATAGTAGAAGACTTCTATAAAACACTATACACAAATAAATTGGACTTAAACCCGACAGAACATACAGAACAAAAAATTATGAATCAAGGTTCAGAAGATATTCCCGACATATCAACGGCTGAAATTTACCATGCTCTAAAGAAAATGAAAAAAAAAACAAAGCACCAGGAGAAGATGGAGTAGTGGCGGATGCGCTAAAAATCGGAGGCTCTACTCTCATCAGGACAATCAAGCAGCTCTTCAATATATGCTTAGAAAACCAAGCAATACCAGCTGAATGGAATAATTCTATAACGCTCCTCATGCATAAGAAAGGAGATCAAACAGACCTCGAAAACTATAGGCCAATCAGTCTTCTAAGTCACCTGTATAAATTATTTGCTCGAATTATCACTGCCAGAATTGAGAACAAACTAGAAACATGCCAACCAAGAGAACAGGCAGGTTTCCGCCCTGGGTATGGTACAAATGACCATCTAACTTGTCTAAAGGCCCTAATTGAAAAAACTATAGAGTACAACCGGCCACTAGTTCTAGTATTTGTTGACTATAAAAAAGCCTTTGACACTATCGAGATGGTAGCTATCTTAAGAGCTTTGAGAGATTGTAGAATCGACTACCGATATACCAGCATTATTCAACATATATATGCAAATGCCACAACAGCAATAAACCTCCACACCCCTACTCAAAAAATAAAACTAAAAAGGGGAGTTAGACAAGGAGACAACATGTCACCAAAACTATTCAATGCCGTAATGCAGCATGCATTCCAGATGTTAGAATGGGAAAACAGAGGTTTGAGTGTCGATGGCGAAAGGCTGAACCACCTACGATTTGCAGATGACATAGTTCTAATAACCGACGACTTAAAGGAGGCCAACGAAATGCTACAAGATTTACAACGAGTCTCCCAAAAAGTAGGGCTGGAAATAAACTTTGCGAAAACTAAAATGATGACCAACTTAGTACCTAGTGGACCATTGAAACTAGAAAACTGGCATATTGAAACGGTTGACAAATACATATATCTGGGCCACGAAATACAAATAAGTAGAGACAACCAAACATGCGAATTATCTAGAAGAATAGCTTTAGGATGGGCAGCCTATGGCAAGCTAAAAGACGTGTTTAAGGAAAACATCCCAATAAAGCTAAAGAGAAAAGCATTTAACCAGTGCGTACTTCCGGTGCTCACTTATGGAGCTGAAACACTGACATTGACTAAAGCATCAATAAAAAAGTTACAAGTAGCACAACGAAAAATGGAAAGATCTATGCTTGGCGTAACTTTGAGAGACCGAATACGAAATGATGAGATACGGCGAAGAACTGGAGTGGAAGACGTCATAAAACGGATTACGAAGTTGAAGTGGAAATGGTCAGGACACGTCGCAAGACAGAGAGACAACAGATGGACAAAGAAGATTTTAGAATGGCGGCCAAGGGCAGACAAGCGAAATCGTGGAAGACCACCTACCAGATGGACGGACGACATTAAAAGAATAGTGACAAACTGGATCGCAGCTGCACAGGACAGAGAAGAGTGGAGACATCTTGAGGAGGCCTATGTTCGACAGTGGACAAATTTGGCTGTGTGATGATGATGATGACTTATATTGACGTGACCATATAAATCATTAAAAATTATTAGTACAAGTGTACACTATGACCAAGAATCCTAGATCGATGTGCTTGCTGAAAAGGATTCTATAAAATCGTCGGTTCTGTTAACTTGGAACCCGATAATAGATTAAAAAATAGTAGGTAAAACAGTTTATGATACTCTCACCAAACTTTGTTTGTCGCTTTATTAAGCCACACACGATTTCCGTCTGACTTTTTTAATTTTCCCGAAATTTGTCGATTTTACGACATACT